AGAGAGAGATTTCTCTCTTCCTTTGCTTATAAAGGCATCAATCCTATCAGATGAGGGTTCTACCTTTATGACTTCAATTAACTTTAATTACAAAGGCTCTATGTTCAAATACAGTAACAATAGAGATTAGGGTTTCAAAATATGAATTTTGGGGGTACATAATCAGTCCATAGTGTTCTACCACTGGCCCCACAAAATTCATGTCCTTCTCACATGCAAAATACATTCATTTCATCCCAGTATCCCCAAAGTCTTAACTCATTCCAAGCATCAACTCTAGCATCTAAGGTCAAAAGTCTCATCTAAATATCACCTAGACTCAATTCATCCTGAGGCAAAATTCCTCTCCAGCTGTGAACTTGTGAAACAAGTTATTTGCTTCCAAAATACGATGTTGGGATGGGTATAGGATAGACATTCCCGTTCCAAAAGGGAGAATCTGGAAGGAAATAAAGAGTGACAAGTCCCAAGCAAGTCCAAAACCTAGCAGGGCGAGTTCCGTTAGATCTTAAGGCTTGAGAATAATTCTCCTTGGTTCAATGTTCTGAGGCAGCAGCCTCATGCCCATTGCCCTGCAAGGCGTGGCACCCAGGGCTCTGCTAGGTGGCAGCTCTGCCCTTTGAAGCCCAATTGGAGGCCATCTGGTCCCCTGGGCCTGTGTACTCTGCACCTGGGGTGGGACTGGCAGTCCTGATGGTCTCTGAATTGCCTTTGGGGTCTTTCTACCCGCCTTCTGTTGAGATGGCCAATAACACCATGGGTAACCTTTTTATTTGGTGTTCCCTCCTGAAGAAACTTCTTCTTTTTTTGCAATATGAGTATGAGAATTTTCCAAATCTTTAAGTTCTGGGTTTTTTTTTTTCATTTTTTGTCTTAACAATTCCTTCTTTAATTCAGCTCTTGCCTTTCACATTTTACTATTAAGCTGTCAAGAGGAACCAAGCCACTCCTCCAGCACTTTCCTTAGAAATCTTCTCAACTAAATAACCAATTTCATTGTTCACAAGGTCTACCTTCCACAAAACACTGGAACACATTATAGTCAAGTGCTTTGCCAGTTCATAACAAGCAGCAGCTTTCCTCCACTTTCCAATAATCTGTCCCACATTTCTGTCTGAGACCTCACCAGAAGACCTTTAACATCCAAGTTTCAACCAGCATTTTGTTCATGATTCTTTGGGTATTCTCTAAGAAGAAGAAAGGTTTCTCTCTAGCTCTCTTTTTTCTTTCTGAGCCCTTACCAGTATCTCCTTTAACATCCATGTTTCACCCAACCATCCCTACATAGCAATCTTGGCTTTTTCTAACATGCACCACAAAAGTCTCCAGCCTCTATCCATTACCCAGTTCTAAAGCCACATCCACATTTCCAGGTATTTGCTACAGTAGCACCCACATCTCATAACCAAAATCTGTATTAGTCAGGGTTCTCCAGAGAAACAGAAACAATAGGGTATATATACATATATGTGTATGTGTGTGTGTGTGTGTCTCTCTCTATATAGACATATATACATATACATATATTTACATATATAGATGTATATACATATATATATAGAGAGAGAGACACACACACACATACATACATGGTTTATTATAAGGCATTGTCTCATACAATAATGGGAGCTGAGAAGTCCCAAGATCTGCAATCAGCAAGCTGAAGACCCAGGAGAACAGATGGTGTAGTTCCAGTCTGAGAATTGTTAGGCTGGAGACCCAAGAAGAGCTGTTTCAGTTTTCATGGAAGGAAAAGACCAACATTGCCTGCTCAAGGCAATCGGGCAGGAGGAGTTTCCTCTTACCCGTGGGAAGGTCTGCCCTTCTGTTCTATTCAGGTCTTCAACTGATTGAATGAGGCCGATCCACATTAGGGAGGACAATCTGCTTTACTCAGTCAACCAATTTAAATGCTAATCTTATCCAAAAATATCCTCACATGCATGCCTACAATAAGGTTTGACCAAATATCTGGGCATCCTGTGGCCCAGTCAAGTTGACACATAAAATTAAAGAAAACAATAACCATAATAAGATGCTCAGTAAATGAGTTCATCAGAAAGATGAAGGGGACAAAAGAAAGAATCAGTAAAATTAAAGATAGAACAATCAAAATTAAGTGATCTGAAAAACGGATTGTTGGGCTGCACCCTGCAGGTCTACAAGGCCTCTACTTGCCCATCCTTAAGACTGAAGAAAGAGCCAGTGACAGAAACATCAATGGTTTAATGGATGGGGGAACTTACACCTCTGAAGCAAGGTCCTGGAGTGACACCCCACCATATTTGGCGGATGGCAGGCAGGACATGAGGCCATCTTTGCTCCCGGGGTGGAAGGAGAGATTGCCAGTTATAGGGGGAAATTATATCAGGTTACCTCATTTGTTACCAGGGAAACCAGCAGAGGGGTCGGTCCCTCACCACCCCTTTGATAAGCAGAGTGGAGAGTTCTTATCTAAAGCTAGAACAGTCATTAGCTGGGGCCTGGGGCAGGTATGTAGGTCAGTCATATGAGTAGGGTGTAGGTGAAGTAGGCACTGGTCAGGCAAGGGATATACAGAGAACAAGGGAACAGCCATCTGGAGGGGCCTGTGACCATACACAGATGTAATAGAAAAAAAAGTGAAAAGAGCCTCAGTACTTGTGGGAATACAACAAAAGATCTAATATTCATGTCATTTGAGTCAGGAGAGAAAAAGAGAAAGAGGATGGGGCAGAAAAAGTATTCAAAGTAATAACTGGTCAAACGTCCTAAATTTGACCAAAATCTATAGATTCAGAAGTGGAGTAAATCCCAAATCAGTAAACCCAAAGAAATCCACACTAATACACATCATAGTCAAACTTCTGAAACTAAAGTCAAAGAAAAAACCTTGAAAGCAACAAGAGAGAAAAGAGGGCTTCCCTGGTGGCGCAGTGGTTGAGAGTCTGCCTGCCGATGCAGGGGACACGGGTTCGTGCCCCAGTCTGGGAAGATCCCACATGCCGCGGAGCGGCTAGGCCCGTGAGCCATGGCTGCTGAGCCTGTGCATCTGGAGCCTGTGCTCCACAACGGGAGAGGCCACAACAGTGAGAGGCCTGCGTACTGCAAAAAAAAAAAAAGAGAGAGAGAGAAAAGATATTTCACCTATAAAGAAAATACGGTTTGAATTATAGCAGATTCCTCATCAGAAATCATGGAGGCAACAGCAAAGTAACACATTTTTCAAATGCCACAAGAACTGTCAGAACAGGATCTTATATTCATTAAAAATGTTCTTCAGGTATGAAGGGAGAAATCAAGGTATTTTCAGATGAAGAAAAACTAAGAGAATTTATTGCCAGCAGTCTATCCTAAAAGAATGGCTTGGGACTTCCCTGGTGGTCCAGTGGTAAAGAATCTGTTACAATGCAGGGGACGTGGGTTCGATCCCTGGTCAGGGAACTAAGATTCCACATGCCGCAGGGCAACTAAGCCCGTGCACCACAACTACTGAGCCTGCGCTCTAGAGCCCGTGAGCCACAACTACTGAGCCCATGTGCCACAACTACTGAAGCCTGTGCACCTAGAGCCCGTGGTCCACAACAAGAGAAGCCACTGCAATGAGAAGCCCGTGCACCGCAACGAAGAGTAGCCCCCACTTGCCGCAACTAGAGAAAAGCCCGTGCACAGCAACAAAGACCCAACGCAGACAAAAATAAATAAATAAAATAAAAGATGTACAATAAGATATACACAAAAACACTGTAAATAAATAAAAATGGAATCATAATAAATGTTCAGCTAACCCACAGGGAGTCAGGAAAAAGAAAATAGAGAAATGGAAAACATAGAGAATGGAAGACCAAAAAATCAAATAAAATGGCAAACTTAAGTCATAACATACCAATAGTTCCATAAAATGTAAATTATGAAAATACACCAATTGAAAATACAGACTGGCAAAGTGAATTAAAAAATATGACCCAACTATACACCATCTGCAAGAAGCTCATTTTAACGTAATGATCCTTAGAGTAAACATATGGAAATATATACATCATTCAAATATTAATCAAAAGAAAGAAAGAGTGGCCATATGGATTTCAGGTAAAGTAGAATTCAAAGCAAAGAAAATTACCAGAGACAGATATGAACATTGTGCAATCATAAAGGGTTAATTCATCCACAAGAAATTATAATCCTGAATGTGTATACACCAAATAACAGCTGAGAAATACATGAAACAAAAAACCCACTGAATTGAAAGTAGAAACAGTCAACTGCACAATTACAGTCAGAGACTTCAGCACCTCTTTCTCAACAATTGATGAAGACAGAAAATCAGCAAACAATATAGAACTCACAACACCATAATCAACAGGATTTAATCAATACTTGTAGAGCATTCCACCAAGCAACTGCAAAGTACACATGACTTTCAAGTGTTCACAGAACAAATATCAAAATGAATCCTATTCTGAGTCATGAAATAAACCCCCATAAATGAAAAGAAAGTTGAAACCATACGGAGGGTGTCCTCTGACTCTAATGGAATTAAACCAGAAATCAGTAACAGAAAGATAACAGGAAAATCCCCAAACCGTTTAAAAATTAAATAACCCACATATAAATAATCAAATGTTCATATGGGACATCTGAGAAGTGACTCAACATAGCAATAACTACCATGCAATAAGGAGTTATCAGGTGGGTAACCGAAATTGGGTCATTAAGGGCTGTTGGAGGAGGTGACCTGCAATCTGAGAAGTGAAGACAAGAAAGAATTGCCTGGTGCAGGTCTAGGGGTAGGGTACTGCTTCCCGAGGAGCATACCCTAACAGGCAAGTGCCTCCACTTGCATTCTCAGTTACAAGCAAGGAAACCAGCCTGGTGTGTGTCCCACCATACTCTCCAGACTTCCCAAGCAGACTGCAGCTCATCTCATTCTTACTCACATATAGAACATAAATGCTTCTCTGTCTTTGGGGGACATAACCCCCAAAATATATCCATGATTCTTACTTGTGAAAAAAACTTACAGCTGCCAAATTTCAGAGGGCAGGCATGAGCATCCATCGGGAAGTCTTCAAGTTGCATTGGGCACTCTGCTGAGATGGTCAAGCTGAAAAACAAGAGATGGGGACCTTTCAATGACTCACCGACTCTGGCTATTTACTGGACACCACGTTTTGAAAGCCATATTAAGCACTCCACTCATTATTTTAATTACTATCTTTTATGAAATTGTCTAAACTGTCCCACCAAATTACATAGGATTGCATTGTAGATGAATATCATTTAGAAATAAGGTTTAAATCAAATCTACTCAGGAGTTCTGTGGCTTGGTGAGTGTCTGTACATACATTACCGCTTGTAAAGCAATTTGAGATGCCTTTAAAGATAATTTATTCTTTTATTCTCCCATCACTTACCCACAGTAATAAAAAAAACTTCCCTTGACAAGGCTGAAAATATATGTATGTTCTAAAATAATTTATAAGCTCAAAAATATAAGTGTGGGGCTTCCCTGGTGGCGCAGTGGTTGAGAGTCCGCCTGCCGATGCAGGGGACACGGGTTTGTGCCCCGGTCTGGGAAGATCCCACATGCCGCGGAGCGGCTGGGCCCGTGAGCCATGGCCGCTGGGCCTGCGCGTCCGGAGCCTGTGCTCCGCAATGGGAGAGGCCACAACAGTGAGAGGCCCGCATACCGCAAAAAAAAAAAAAAAAAAAAATATATATATATATATATATATATAAGTGTGGAATAAATACACAGTCCAAGTTTCGACCAGAAGCTGGCTATAATTATTGTGTACTGGACTGATGTCACGAAACTATAGAGTAAGCAAAATTGTGTTATGATAGCAACTTTCTTATTGTTTTTAATCCAAGTCTGGTCTTCCAAATAATAATACCACCATCCACTACCACTGTCACCAATGACTAAAACAGTGCTGATCATAAGAGTTGCTGGTCTGGGCTAGGGACTGTGTTAAGTGTTTCACCTGCATTAACATATCTAATTAGAATAGCACAATGTATTGCTATTATCACCCCAGTTTCAAGGTAAGAAAGTGAGGCATGGATATTAAGGGATCCGGACAAGAATGCAGAGCCCCTAATGGCACGTGCCCCACAGGCTGTGTGACCCAAAACTCTGTTTGTACTTGCGGAGTCATCATGCTGTGGTGCTTTTATTTCCCTACAGATTTACTAATTAAGTAGTAAATCTAAATTTCTTTAATGAGTTAGTCTTCTGTTCTTAGTGTTTAATTCTATTATTTAAAATGAAATGTAATTGCATAAAATGAAATCAAATTGCACAATTTTCAACTTTAAACAGACGTTACAATTCTATTTTGTTATATTGTCTGGATCTTGCCCATGTGCCTGGGGTGAGAATAAAAATGTAAACATTTTTGCCTTTACTGCTTCCTTCTTTTAAGATAGCTTAACTTTTTTGCTATTAAATTGGGCATGTAATTCACACTTGACGATTGCAGATGGAGTAGTCAATTCATGCATTCTCTGAATGGAGCTAAAACATGTCAGTGGAAGGAAGGTGTGTGCCCATCATGGAGAGGAAATCTGCTGCCTCTGCCTGGGGGTACCACTCTCCCCAAAATGGAGTGAGTTCCAGAGGGTGTGAGTGCACATGGATGAGAATATACCACAAAAGTCTCATATTCAGGTGGGGAGATGATATCTAAAATTATATGCCACCTATGTTCGTAGAAGAATATGGAAAATACAGAAAAGTTATAAAGAAGAAAATTACAAATGCATATCATTTCACTTATAATTTCACCTGGTACACTTTGTCCAGATTTCTTCACAGCTACAGATGTTTTCTTTCTGTTCCTGGTTTATAAAATTCAGTCTTCTGTTTACCTAACATTAGAGAAGGGGCATTTCCCACATCTTTAAAATCTCTGCATAATCATGACTTTGAAAGGTAAAATATTTAATTCTAGCATGCAGATGTGTGTGTGTGTAATATACATATGCATATATCTGTATATGTGTGGACATCTTCAAGCATAAACTATGTAAAAGGATTATTATTACAGACTACAAAATGGGGAAGGTAAAGGAATATTTACTTATTAGAATTAAGAAAACAGGACTTAAAAACCACAGCCTGTGAGAAGGACAACATAAAGGAAAATAGTGTTACTTTATCTTGTTAGTAAACTTAAGCCATTTGTTAAACAAAGCAATAGTGGGGCAGAAAACTTAAGTGAGTCAAATATGTTCTAGAGAATAAAATCACAATGACTCAGTAAATCTAGAATTTCTTTGAGAAGCAAATTTATAGTAGGGAAATAAAAAGTATATATAAAGCTATAGTGCCAGGTACAAAGCAATAAATGTGAAAGTAAGCACATGAAGAAATGGTGATGTGGGAGAACAGAGAACGCTTCCAATTAGAAAAGTACATCTCAGTGCTGGTCTACGGCCTCTGCTCCAACAGTTGACGGCCTTGGTGTAAGGAAGATGCTGGGCTCAGCCAGTGGGAACAGTGTGAGGGGGGAAAGGGTGCTTCAGGTGGTCCTGACTGTCCAAGCCCTGCTGTATGCACAGCAGACTTCAACCAGCAGACCCAGTGCTGCAGTCTTCAAGTTGCCCCCAATAATAACAACAACTATGGGCTGGACTCCCACCAGCAGGGTGACGTGGAGATGGTCCTTCCACGGCAGAATTTTCTCTCCAGACACTGCCATGTCTTGGAGCTCACATAGCTGGGCTTCTGTCCCCCAGAAAACACTCTTATGGCCCACAGGGTCTGGAGGCTGCCTTGAAGCCAGATCTGTTGGTTGAATTCTTGACAATGTGGTGAATCACAGTTAACTCCTCTCCCCCCTGCTTGGTGCTGGGTCTCTGCTTTGATCCCCGGGGCCACTGGAGGCACTGCCACCTGCATTCCTGTTCCTTGCCCTTACTTGTCAGAGTCGACCCCTCAGGGAGACTTGACCTCCCACCTCTGGCACTCTGCCCACTCCTGGCTTTTCCTCCTTTTCCTCACGTACTCCTCTTTCTTGGCCAACACCGTGTGTTTATAAGAGAGGTGAGGAGCCATCTTTTCTGTCACTGTGTTCTCAGCATTTGGTGTCTTGTTTGGTCCTGAGATCTAGGCCAAAACCACTGCACTGACAACATTTAACGATGGCAAGGAATGCACACCAAGGAGTCTGCTTTTAGCATATAGCAGGAGGAGAGAGGGTGGGTAGAGACAGGTGGACAGAATTTAGCTGGATGTAAAAAGAAAACCCTTTTGAAGAAAAAAATAATTCCAGTGAAAACATAAAAAAGATAATTCTACAATTACCATCTTGATAAATGCTAACATTAGAGCCTCACAGATTGTTCCCCCATTTTAATAGACCTCTTTAGAATTTGAATTCCAAACATCAGAAAAATATACTTCATCTATGATAGTGTCTCTCCTCTAAGGAGTGAATGTATTATTCAGATAAATTCCCCAACAGCAAATGTTTCAACCTTAGTAAGAGAACAACACTTAAAATTTTTGATCCTTTAAGCATTTCAAAAACGGCCTATGCTTTTATAGTACTCAAATAATATCTCTAGATAAGAGGGACCCTTCCATTCATGGGGTTCTTAAAATGCAGTGTCCTTTGATGTACAACCAACCTCCTTCACACAGAATTGAGATCAGAGCACTCCATGGAATGTGGACTGTCAGAGCTCAAAGGAGCCAGCCAGGTCACCTCCTAGAAACCCTTACTTTTCTCAAAAGGTTAAGGAATATGCCTATGGAAAAACTTACTGAATTACTGGTAGATCCAAGGATCCAGCTTTTTACTCCCAAAGGTCAAATTTCTGTTTCTAAAGACATTCAGGCGTTGACTTATTGGAACACAATATCCCATTTTTGAACATCTTAATTTTAGGGTAAGAAAAAGGGCATTTTGTGAGTTAAGCTGTTTGCTTCAACTTGGATGTAAACTCCCTAGAGAGCCCTCTGCTTGCCCAGCGGCAGCGCTCAGTGGCATGTGCTTCAGATGTTAAAACAGCCAAATTCGGGCTTCCCTGGTGGCGCAGTGGTTGAGAGTCCACCTGCCGATGCAGGGGACACGGGTTCGTGGCCCGGTCCGGGAAGATCCCACAGGCCGCGGAGCGGCTAGGCCCGTGAGCCATGGCCGCTGAGCTTGCGTGTCCGGAGCCTGTGCTCCGCAACGGGAGAGGCCACAACAGTGAGAGGCCCGTGTACCGCAAAAAACCCCAGCCAAATTCTAGAGTAGCTTTGCCATTAATGAATTGTGCAACTTTGTAAAACTGCCTAACTTCTCTGGTCCAGCCTTTCCATTTGAAAAAGAGAAATAGCAGCTGCTTTATTCTCTGAAAAAAACAAGAATAGTTAATAGGTGCGTAAAGAGATTTCTACCCAATACGCTCTCCAGATCTGAGCCTTCTTCATTTACTTGAGAATATTCAGTACAATAGAAGATGTGGTGGTAGGCAGAATAATGGTCCTGCAAAGATGTCCATGTCCTAATCCCCCAAACCTCATGACTTGTGAATGTTACCTTAAATAGCAAAAGGGCTGTGCAGACATGATTAAGTTAAGGCCCTTGGGAGAGGGGAGTTTATCTTGGATTATCCAGATGGGCCCAGGCGAATCACAGCAGTCCTTATGAGAGGAAGGCAGGAGTGTCAGAGTCAGAGGCGATATGATGACAAAAGCAGAGGTCATGGGATTGTGGTCATGAGCCCAGGGATGCAGGCAGCCTCTAGAAGCTGGAAGAGGCAGGAAAGGATTCTCCCCTAGAGAATCCAGAAGGAATGCAATCCTGCTGCCACAGCTTGACTTTAGCCTCGTAAGACCTTTTTTGGACTTTCGACCTCCAGAACTAGAAGATAATAAATTGGTTGTATTTTAGCCAATAAATTCGTGATAATTTGTTACAACATCTATAGGAAAATAATACAAAATTTGGTACTTGGAAGTGGGATGCTACTGTAACAAATACCTAAAAAAGTGGAAATGATTTGGAATTGGGCAGTGGGAAGAGGCTGGAAGAATTTTGAGATTCATTATAGAAAAAGCCTAGACTATGTTGAACAGACTGTTAATTGAAATGTGAATGTTAATGATTC